TAGGCTAATAACCGAGTCGATCACACCTATCGTCGAGAGCAAGGCCGTGGCGAAGCCGTGATCGAGACAAGTCGAGGACACGCAACACCAGATCCTTCATCATGCTGGCCGGGCCGATGCCGACTGCCGGTTCAGTCGACCGGCAGTCCGGCCCAGACCAGTTCAGACCGGCTGGACCGGTTCAGCCCCATTTTTAAATCGGTTCGGTCCTTATGTTATGGTTTCAGCCCGGTTCATGATTTTAATGGTATTTTCAGTTAAATTTTCGGAATTATTTCAGTGCAGTAAATTCATGTCCGATCAGTTCATGTCAGTTCAGTTCCGGTTATTCCGGTTAAGTCTAAATATCATGTCAGGTTCAGTAGAGCATCTTAACAAAATTAATCAGTTAAGTTAACAGTCTGAGCATAGTCATTAGTAATTGTTTATATTATTTTCAGTTTGATCAGGCATCAGCACTACCGTTCAGTTTCAGCAGTTCAGGTGGGGACTCAGACTAAGTACTACATTGATTATAATCACGGTACCATGTTTGAGGTATGTATTTCATGTGAGGTATCCGCTCGGAATGGTCGCCGGTCCATTCTGGGTTCTAGTGGCCCTAGTCTGCCCACTAGAGTGTGCACATGGTGTCCGACATTAGTTTTTGCCGGTAGATGAGGTAACGGTCAGGGTCACGTTGCGTGACGATATCAGATTCATGTTCATGTTATTACCGTTTCATGTTGAGGTTATGTATATACCGATATCATGATGTTGTTATTATTTTCAATGTTTACATTAGTATGAGTTTCCACGGAGCACAGTGCCATGGTACTCATTTCCCCATTGTTATCATGTTTTTCAGGTCAGGACGTCGGGCAGGGAGCGTGAGATGACGGAGGCTTCAAGACTTTTATGTTTTGACTGTATATGTATATTGACGATTTACGTTTCCGCTGATGACGGCTTTTGTCGAACTTATATTTTGAATGGACTTTTGGAAAACTTTATGCTTTCAGTAACAGTATGATTTTATTAAAAATTTAAATATCGGTTTTCCAAATTAAGTCACGATTTTAAGGTAGCACCCCGAATCAGTTTTCGCAAAGTAAAAGGTTTTATTTTTAAATAACTTTGCGAAATTTTCGCACTCTGATTTTACGATAAGGCGGGGTGTTACAAATTGTTTCCGGATTGCAAGACCCAACTACACTTTTTTCCAGATTGGAAGACCCAACTACACTTCCATCTCGAAAATCAACATGTTCATCATCTTCATCAATCGATATTACAGCGATTTCATTAAAATGAACATGTTCATCCAAAAAAAAGAAATCGTTTCCAGATTGGAAGACCCAATTACACTTCCATCTCCAAAATCAACATGTTCATTTTCCAGATTAAAATGAACATGTTTATTTTCATGATTACAAAATTCAGGTGCTGCGTCTAGATCTTCTAATATCACCATGGGAAAGTTCAGTTTTGCAGAAGATAAAATCGAGAATCGCTTCAAAAGAGAAGAGTTGGAGTGAAAGAGGATTTTTGCCTTGAAAAATGAGTCCAATTTTGGCGGAAATAAGTCCAACTTTTTACCGCATTTTTTCTCTCTTTCTCTCTTTGTGCGTGGGCTAGAAATTGGACAACTCTTTTAATTTAAAGCCACTCTCCTTTTTTTTTTTACGTGCCTTCACTGCTCTTGCGACCAAATACAAGATTAAGAGTCGATATCTTGACTTATCCTATGTAACCTCCCTTAACAAACGGGCTCTAAATTTCTCATTTTCCCATTTGAATTTCACAAATGAAATGAGCCCGTGTTTACCACAAAACAATTAGGAACTACTTTAATATAAGTAAAATTATTTATTTATTATTCGTAAAAGCATGATCTCCAGAACCTTCCTAAACCCCTCATATTTATCTTCTTAAACCCTACACTGCACAGCAGCTAGAAACCTCGCCAATTACCCACTGATTTTATTCTTCTCTCATACAGCCTCTCTCTCTACACGCCACCAGAGAAAATGCACAGGCTATCGAGTCGCTCCGTCTCCTCTGTCCTACGCAACGCCAAGGCCGCCACTCGATACCACCGACCTCTCTCATCGTCTTTTCCCCTCATCGATAATCACTCGGTAGTTTATAATAACCTTATACAATTCGATACATCTCCATTTCATAGTATATTTGTTCCTTACTTGTAGAAACTCTGCATATTTGTGCCTGCTTTATGTGGTTAATCGAAAATTTGTGTTTTTTTTTGTTCTATATATTTAGTCTCCGGGATTCTTCTAGGATTTACAAGGTGTCGGGTCTTAGAAATGTAAATTGATTAGAACATTCAATCGACAAGTGTTTTTGGCTGTTTCTCGTTATTAATAGCTAGATAAAGCTTCATATTTTTGTGATAAATGACTTCTCGTTTGTCTTCTGACTAATAGGGGGAGAAGGATGCAACAAAGAGATGGTTCTCTGTGTTAACCACTGGTAGTAGCTCTTGCGTTGATGGAAGCAAGCCATCCAATCTGAAAAATGAGCCTTTCGTGGGCCGACGTTATGAATCAACATCTGCTGCATCCGAACCACCAGCAGAGAAATTTGAGTACCAAGCTGAGGTGAATTTGAGTTGAAGAACCTACTCTATTTGTAGTCACACTAATGTATAATCGGTAACATATTGTGATCATATTATGTGTTTATTTCAGGTTAGTCGCCTCATGGACCTTATTGTGAATAGCTTATATAGCAACAAGGATGTATTTCTTCGGGAGCTTATCAGGCAAGTCTATTGATCTCATTGCCATACGTATTATATTGGGAAATTGGTGAGCTGCAACATCATTTTATTTAAGATGGATGACCTGTAACTTTCTCTTACCTTTGGTTCTCTTGGGTTTCATCTCTAGCCTACCCCAACTTGCTTGGGACTAAAAGGCTATGTTGTTGTTGTTGTTGTTGTTGTTGTTTGTGGATTACCTGTAACTTGTGACCATGGAATTTATAGGACAGATCATGTTATCCTGTGGAGCATTACTTCAATCCATTTTATATGTGCTACATACCTAACACTTTATATTCCTGAATCCTTGGTTTGGTCCGCAGCAATGCAAGTGATGCCTTGGACAAGCTGCGGTTCCTTAGCGTTACTGACCCCAACCTTCTGAAGGATGTAGTTGATCTTGACATTCGCATCCAGTCTGACAAAGATGAGGGAATTATTACAATTACGTAAGTTTTTTAGGCTATGAGCATTGCTTTCATCTCTATGTGCTATGGTCGTCCATCCTGATTCGAATGATTTTACTTGCAGAGATTCTGGGATTGGCATGACACGCCAAGAGCTTGTGGACTGTCTCGGTACTATTGCACAGAGTGGAACTGCTAAGTTCTTAAAAGCACTGAAGGTTAAACCTCTTTTGTGATGCCAACAATTCTTTTATATACCCATGTATATCATAGTGTTCACAATTTTCTATCATCTTATTGAACAGGATAGCAAGGATGCTGGTGCTGACAGCAATTTAATTGGTCAATTTGGTGTGGGGTTCTACTCGGCCTTCCTTGTTTCTGAGCGGGTTTGCATTTGGAAACTAAAGCTTACCCCTTCTTATCTTTTTAGTTGTTTTTTTGTTGTTGACGTGTTCGCCTTGATGTCCTTTGGCATAAAAGGTTGAGGTCTCGACAAAGAGCCCCAAATCTGATAAGCAATATGTATGGGAAGGTGAAGCAAACTCTAGTTCCTATACTATCCGAGAAGAGACTGACCCTGCTAAGCTTATTCCAAGGGGAACTCGCCTCACTCTTTATCTTAAGGTTGGTACATATTAGTACAAGTTGTCTTTTTCTTCTGTTGCCGCAACTTCGCTGATCTTTAAACTTGTGTTACTTTTTGTGTATGTATCAGCATGACGACAAAGGTTTTGCCCATCCGGAAAGAATCCAGAGGCTTGTGAAAAATTATTCGTTGTTTGTTTCGTTCCCAATTTATACATGGCAAGAGAAGGGATTCACTAAAGAGGTTGGTGCTGCAAAATATATTTAATCTACTTCTATACTGCTGCCTCCATGCGGTTCTTCATGTTGTTCCATTGTGCTCCCTGCAAGGAGAATCTGTCGGAAACATATTCAGATAGATGCAAATATGGCGTTGCTTATTTTTTTTATGAATTGTTTTAGATACTAAAGGTTTTGAGAAGCAAACATATAGTGATGTGAGAAGCATTATAAGGCATAGGGCAGGAAATAAGCACTTCCATTAACATTCATTTAATGCACATGCCTGATAACATGGTGCATGAACAGTAATCGCCTTGAACTGCTAGGTCGACCATCTACCAGCGAAACACTTATCAGTATTCTATCTATCATATTTTTAGTTTTCTGCCACAGACTTTACCATAGGGTATCAAATGGCAACATTTATGATGTTGGGTGATGTATATAAGCGTTACAATGATTGCTTGTTCTTAATGTGTGAAACTCATGGTACCAGTTCACTCTTAGGAAACTATGATTGAAACTCGTGGTGCTAGTTTGTTCTTGGGAAAATACAATGTTATCAAATGGCGGCCATGGCGGCGACATGGCGGTATTGCGTGGCGGATTTTTGACAATCCGCCATGCAAAATTTGTGAATGATGGCGGCGCCATAGACCGCCACGGCGGCCGCCAATGGCGGAATTTTGGCAAAACGCCATGTATCGCCATCCGCCATTAATAACACTGGGAAAATATGAAACATTGAATGCTTGTTTATAGACCTTTTTCTGGTTAACCATAGTTATTTTTTAAATAGTTGGTTGAGTTAGGTTTGAGTGAGAATTTGAATTTATATTAAAATAGTATTTAAGGTTGATTTGATGTAAAAGTAGAATAAAAGTGATTGGAAGGGATAGGTAGTTAAAATTATGTGGGTGGATGAATAGTGAATTAAAGTCGATATTTGAGGATAGTGGGGGTCTAGTTAAAGTTGAAGTAAATTGAGTTTGGATTGGATTTTTTTTGGGAAAAATTCATAAACAAGCAACCCCTGTATATTTGGTACTTGATAGATTGTCTCTTTTGCAGGTAGAGGTTGATGAGGATCCTGCTGAAGCCAGTAAGGATGCAGGAGAGGGGCAAACTGAGGTATATTATAATGCAAACTTAATAAAATTATGGTCATGTGTTTACTTAAAAACCTTTGCGTGGCAATGTACTTGGTGAAGCATAATGGTTCTGATATCCACATAACAGAAAAAGAAGAAGACCAAGAAAGTTGTTGAAAGATACTGGGATTGGGAGCTTACAAACGAGACCCAGCCAATATGGGTGAGCATATGAGATGTCACTGTTATCTTACTCTGTCAAGATTCCTTTGAAGACTGATAGTTGTCTGTTTGATGCAGCTCCGTAATCCCAAAGAAGTCACTACAGAGGAATACAATGAGTTCTACAAGAAAACATTTAATGAGTACTTGGAACCTCTTGCCTCGTCACACTTTACAACAGAGGTTATACAGATTCCTATAAACATTAGTTCCTTAACTGTTGATCTGTGACTGTTATGGTTCAATATCCTACATATTATTTTACAGTGTCAGTTTGACTCAAGGAGTTCTGGACTACTTACCCTCAAGCAAAAGATTTTATCATTCGAGCTGGGTAATTTGCTAAAGCATTTGCTTGCTTGTTGCAGGGTGAAGTAGAGTTTAGGTCTATTTTATATGTGCCATCAATGGCACCCACAGGGAAGGATGACATTGTCAATCCCAAGACAAAGAATATAAGGCTCTATGTCAAGCGTGTATTCATTTCTGATGACTTTGATGGTGAATTGGTGAGAATAGATTTGTATACTAGTTCTTATTAAGTTAGGTTTATTTAATGGAGTTGCTACAGTATTTAATCAATTTCTTCTGTGATTATTAGTTCCCACGGTACTTGAGCTTCATTAAAGGTGTTGTTGACTCGAATGATCTTCCGTTGAATGTCTCCCGTGAAATTCTTCAAGAAAGCCGTATTGTAAGTGGCCAATTTTTATGGATTGCTGCACAATGGTGTAATATACCTCTCGATTATGCAAGAATCTGATCCTAACTTCTTTTCTCCTGGCTCTAGGTCCGGATAATGAGGAAACGTTTGGTGCGCAAGGCCTTCGACATGATTCTGGGCATAACCATGAGCGAGGATAGAGATGTATATAGATTCTTTTCCCTTTCCAAGCCTCTACTAGTATAACTAGGGTTGAACTTTGATGCTTTTGAGAGAATCATATAAGAGCATTTCATTTAAACATGGGAACTCATAAAATGTCTTGCTTGTCTGGTTATTGTTAGATTCTCTATGACTTGGTCTACTATACTAATCTAGTGTTCTGTGCACAGGATTATGTGAAGTTCTGGGAGAACTTTGGGAAACATTTGAAGTTAGGTTGCATGGAAGACCGTGAGAACCACAAGCGCATTGCTCCATTGCTGAGATTTTTCTCGTCCCAAAGCGAGGAAGATATGATCAGCTTGGATGAGTATGTGGAGAACATGAAACCTGATCAGAAAGATATTTACTTCATTGCTGCGGACAGTGTTGCTAGTGCAAGGAATACACCCTTCTTGGAGAAACTTGTCGAAAAGAATATTGAGGTAAATGTACTCTTTATCTTCTTTTGCCTTAGATTTGAGTGCTCATTTGTTTAATTATTTAATAGTTTGATTGATAGCCAACTGTAATTCATTACTTCTGGGATGCAGGTTTTGTTTTTAGTGGATCCAATAGATGAGGTCGCCATCCAAAATCTGAAAGCATACAAGGAGAAGAACTTTGTAGACATTAGCAAAGAAGATCTGGATCTGGGTTAGTATTTTATGGAAATTTCCTTTTTTTTTCTATAAAAAAAATTCATTTCATTTGCAGTGATAGGTGTGGTCGTTGATTTTTTCCTGAACTTGGTAACTCTACTTTTGTATTGCAAGCAGTTGGGATTTGAAATAGCCAAAATTGTTGTATTCGTGTGTGATTAATACATCTTATTATGTAAAGTGATGGAAAAACTAGGCAGGGGTTATTGAGTGATGATGTGAATTGGTCAGGTGACAAAAATGAAGAGAAGGAAAATGAGGTAAAGCAAGAGTTTGGTCAGACTTGTGACTGGATTAAGAAGCGCTTAGGTGACAAAGTCGCCAGTGTTCAAGTCTCAAATCGTCTGAGTGCATCACCTTGTGTTCTTGCATCTGGAAAGTTTGGCTGGTCTGCTAATATGGAAAGGTGAAGAAAATGCATATATATAATATATATATATATATATACTCACACAAGAGTTTGACCTGGCCTGTATCTGTGACTGTGGGTGAGATCATCTTTTAGTTAATATATATGTTGAAGGGTTTGTCTAACTATAATAAAAATCTGTTTGCCGCAGGCTGATGAAAGCACAGACAGTCGGTGATCCTTCAAGCCTGGAGTTTATGAGAAGCAGAAGAGTTTTTGAAATCAATCCTAATCATCCAATCATCAAAACTCTAAATGTACGAATTTATTTGAGTTATTTGTGGGTGGGAAAATAGAATAGAATTCACATGCTATGAAACGAACAAAAAACATTCCACCTAATTTCTTAATTCTCTGAGTTTATGATTTTGTACCTCAGGCTGCATGCAAGAGTAGCCCGAACGATGAGGAAGCTCTTAGGGCTGTTGACCTTTTGTACGACACAGCTTTAATTTCCAGTGGTTTCACTGTGAGTATCTTCCAATCACCTGACCTTTACTATTATTATTATTATTATTATTATTATTATGTTGATGATGATGATGGGGTGTTTGGATTGTAGCCTGAGAGTCCAGCACAGCTTGGAGGGAAGATATATGATATGATGAACATGGCTTTATTGGGAAAATGGAATGATGGGTTTCAGCAGCAACAAGTAAACAACACGACATGGCACGTTCCTGAGACTGTCGAAGCTGAGGTTGTCGAGCCTACTCCTGCTTCTGAAGCTGCTGCTAAAAATTATTAAAATTTCAATGTAGTAATCGAATTAGAGAGACTTTATGGGACATTTTATATCGAGCTTGCTGCCTGTCCTGATGGTGAATTTAACATTTTATTATTTGGAGGCAACAACAGTTTTCTGTTCTGAAATGCTCGGTTTACCAATCTAGTGCACCTCCTTTACAGAATAGTCAGTGTCAGATTCACCTAGGAAGATTTTATTCATATTAAAATTGCCGTAATGACGTATTATTGATCTCATAATTGCTGCTCATTTCCTTTTTCTTGTGGTAATACTATATGTTAAATTGTTATCCGAGTAATGTTCATCTATCCATTGTGAGTAATGTTCATCTATCCATTGTGGGCACATGTTAATATGTTCACCGCTTATGTGGCATGTACACATTAGTGATGTTAATATATTAAAAAATACATCAACAATGTGTGTATGCCACATAAGCGGTTGACATATTAACATATGCTCACAGGTGAGCATTTCTCATTGTTATCCACCCATAATTTTGGATTATTTGCATTATGGATTAAACTAAATCGAGTAGTCTTGGCAGTTGCATCATTCAACAACAGTCTTTAGTGTTTCTCCCCACATGAATAATAATGCTATAAGCACATAAAATTGTACATAGATGTATATATAATACTCACATTGAGTGAGATTTATTAAAAATAAAAAATTAAGTCAAGTCACCTCACTTCATGTGATTGTTATTTACATTTATTATTTACTTGTAGCATTTTTCTTGCAGTATTTTATTCATTTGACAACTGCCCAAATGAAACACAATTAATTTTGGAGTGTAGTGTAGTCTAGAGTCCAGAAAAATACAAATAAATTTTAAAGAGAATTACAGTGAGCCACTATAATTCATTCTCTAACAAAACGATGTACCATAAGGGTGTGATTGGTTGGGGTGATAAGGAGGGATATCACACCATTTATTAAGCATTAACACCCTTTAAGGTGTTTGGTTGAAATAACCCCAGCCCTTGAAATTGACAAGGCTCGGTTTTAGTTGTAACAATTTTTGGTATAACACATCACATGGGTTTGGCAGGATACAATTTCCCATGTAAAAAGCTCTTGTTTCCAAAAGACTAAATTACCCTCGAATAAAAGATGGTAACCTAAAATTGAGCTGCCATTTGCCAGATTCATCTCGACAAACCCTATGCTCCGCTTCTGCTCCACGCGACGAAGGTACGCGAGATGAACCTTTGCTAATTTTCATCGAGACTTCCTTCAATCACGGTTTCTTTTTTGATAGATCTGATGTTTGTGTACGTGTGTGTCTTCTTTCCGATTTTACTTCGTTGAATCTCGCTGAATTTCGCTTCATTTCGCCCAATTTTTGAAACAGAACATACTGAAGACGAAGTATTTTGTCTCGCGAATGTCGTGCTACTTTTCTGGGTAAAGTGTACGTGTTCTGGATTTATGTCCAATTTTTTTGAATATATGTTTGATTTCCTTCGTTTTTGTGTACTCTTTGTTTGTAATTCATTACTCTAATTGCTTGCATTTTTCCAGTCATGTGTTTGGGTTTGTATACAAACTAGTTTTGTTTTCTGTATCAGTTTGTTACAACAATGTAGAAGAGCGTAGACCGAAAATTTTTATGCTCTATTTAAATTTGAACAATTGCAGTTTTCCAATCAAACATAATGCCAGAGATTTCAAGGCGCAGAGCAGAAATTTTATTACTAATTGAAGAGATAATGATTCAAATTTGTGTAGTAATGGCCGTTGTTACTGCACAAATTGGATATCATTGTAGTATTGGAAGGGAGCAAGTAACAAAAAATGTAAGATACGTGATGGCTGAGAGAATACCAAGACAAATAGATCACCTCACTGCTTTGGTTGGACTCAGTGATCCTGATTGTTTGAACAACTTACGAATGAGCTGCGATGTGTTCAATAGGTTGTGTTATTTGTTAAGACATGGTGTTGGCTTGAAGGATTCAAAATACGTGTCGGTTCCAGAAAAGGTTGTTATTTTCTTGTCTGTTATTGCACACCATAAAAAAATGCGTGTTGTGAAGTTTGATTTTAAAAGGTCGGGACACACAGTTAGTATTTATGTCAATGAAGTCCTAAATGCGGTTCTACAACTGCATAACACACTTCTAGTGAAGCCGGAACCAGTTGAAAACAACTCTGTCGACCCTCGGTGGAAGTGGTTTAAGGTATTACTTAACTACTGCCTACAAACACTGTAGTATTTACACTCTCATTTTAGTTAAATTAGTTTAATTTGTTAAGAAACAAACCCTTCAAATTTGATTATTAAAACTTCTGTTTATTTTTTTATGTCTTCAGTGTTCTGTGTCATGTATGTAGGGTTGTCTGGGTGCATTGGACGGTACTCACATACCAGTACTTGTCCCTTTGGTCGACCAACCCAGATATAGGAATCGAAAGGGTGAATTGGCGGTTAATATTTTAGGTGTTTGTGATCGCAATCTAAACTTTATATATGTGTTATGTGGATGGGAAGGTTCAGCAGCAGATTGTCGGGTGCTCCGTGATGCTGTCAGTAGGCCAAATGGATTGCGGATTCCTGAAGGTATTCATTTATGTTGTGTGCTTTTGTCTATATGAAAAGTCCCCTAGCATTCTTAGTAATATTTATGCACATGAACTTTTTTTTATTAACACATGCTTTTGTTACAGGGCATTATTATCTTTGTGACAATGGATACACAAATGGAGAAGGATTTTTAACACCATATAAAGGGGTCCGTTACCATTTGAAAGAATGGCGACATGGTAGTGGTATACCTCAGACGAGCGAGGAATTTTTCAACATGACCCACTCTAAGGCACGAAATGTTACTGAAAGGAGTTTTGGAATATCAAAGGAAAGATGGGCCATCCTCCGTAGTCACAGTTTTTACAGTATTAAGATACAAAACAGGTTGATCATGGCTTGTGTGTTGCTGCATAATTTCATCCGCAGAGAGATGAATGTTGACCCAATTTAAGTTGGTGAAGACGAGGACGATGGTGATGGGACTGATGATAATGTTGACCCTATTTTTATTGACACTGTCGAGACGTCTCAAGCATGGTCTGAAATGCGAGACCAAGTGGCACAGTCAATGTTCAATGAATGGAGATGTATTTAGAATTATTAGTTAGCCTACGCTTGTATTGTATTGTTGACTATGTTCTTCCCTCTTCTTGATATTTTCTTCAAACTTGTGTGGTCTATTTGTTGTTAATGAGATTGTTTTCTTTTTACAGTTAAATGTCCCCTATGCCATAACTTTCTTCATTTTCATAATTTTTAATACATCAGCTCAACAAAATGGAACGGTCAGATCAGAACATTCGCAGTACTCGGAGGCGCAGAGCTGACAAAGGCAGGAGAAGTTGGACTAAGCATGAGGAAGAAATTCTTATTGTTGCATTGAAAGAGGTTGTTGCAAATGGTTGGAAGTCAGAAAATGGCTTCAAAATAGGGTTTCTACAAGTTTTAGAGCAGGACTTGGCTAAAAAACTACCAGGTACTGATTTGAAAGGAACTCCCCACATTAACTCCAAGATCCATGTATAGAAGAAGGATTACAGTAGCCTCGTGTCGATGCTCTCTAAAACGGGCATTGGCTGGAACGATTCGACTAAAATGATTGAAGCAAGTGATGAGGCATGGGCATCATATGTAAAGGTACGCTCTTGTTTGATAGCATATTTATGTGTAAATGAATGGTGTTTTTTGATACATGTTTTATGAAAAAACCTACTTTTGATGCCAAGTTATATATTTTTTACAAAGGTTGATCAAAATGCTCGATTAATGAGGTATAAGAGTTGGCCGTATTATCTCGATTGGGCAAATATCTTTGGGAAAGACAGGGCAACTGGAGAGTATGCAGAGGATATAGGAAATGCTGCAAGTCAAGCAGTTAATGATGGCACGGGTGTGTTACCTGATGAAGTTGAAGCGGGAACAAATTTGGGTGGAGATGAATTTGACTGGATGACGTCTGAATCAGAAAGTCGTGCTGAAGGTTCCACTTCTACTATGAAGAGTAAAGGATCAAAAAGAAAGTCCACACAATTAAATGAAGATATGAGCTCTGTGTTCCGCGATTTCTGCACTGAAACTGGGGCACGTTTACGTGAGATTGCGCAGAAAATAGGTTACGAATATGATGTTTCGGCTGCTCGGAAAGAAGTGTATTCTGTAGTGGGGAAGATCCTGGGCTTAAATATGCAAGAGAAGTTGGTGCTATGTAAGTTGCTTGTCAGAAACACTGAAGACTTGGAACTATTCTTCAGCTTACCGGATGATGCAAAAGCAGAATTTGCACGAATGAAGCTAGCTGGTAATATTTAGGGGCTAGAAATCTGCTTCTTCACATGTGGTGTAATTTTCTTTTGTGGATTGCAGCTACCTATATTTAAAACTGGTTATTTGGATTTGCAAACTTTATTCTAGTATATGTAACAACTCGGATTTGATGTT